TTGGCAAAGGCATACATCATCAGATCATAAAAAAAGCATAGAATAGTTTACAAAAAGAATCTTTGAAAATGCTTTGACTTGGGCACAAGGACTTTCGCCCAGTCTGTACCAGGCGGCTGGCAGGGCTAAGTGACCTTGTGCTCAGAATATCTTGGGGTGTGAGAGGAGAAGGCCACTATCTTCCTAGGAAAACTTTCTGCTAGGAAATTTTAGACATGATCTCAAACTTGTCTGAATCTGGTTTCATATCATAAATCTCAACTTTCTTCCCTCCCCGACTCTCAGGGTCAGATGTTGTAATCAGTCTAGGTTTATTCTGGCCATAATGAAGGCTGCATAGGCCTCCTGCACGTAATTCTCAGGCAAACATCTAGTGTTGCTGCAGCTGTTTTCCTACAGAAGGCTTCTAAGGTTTCTCCTGATAAGAGCAACTCCTTCTGCTCCACATCATTAAGGAATTATTTTAACGATGACTTCCCTATTTCCAGAACTGGCTATTTCTTTAAAGGCTTTAATGAATAGGGGTGCAAAACTCAAAAATGTCCTCAGCAGTCTTATTTGTATCCACAACTGCCTGGAATAGTCTGATCTGTTAGCAATATGCAAGGATCACAAAGAACACACAGACAAGGGAAAAGACAGACATATAGCACCAAGTACAGTCAGGTCGAGTCAGTACAAATGGCAACTCAGGTAGCATTACACCACAACTGGTTGCCAAGGGACAGCCCAGGACTCAACTCCGAGAAGCGCGGATCCTGATCCTTCCGGCAATATTTGCCCATCCAGTCATCATTTCTGCTACACTGGCGAGACAGCCATGGATGTAGCAGTAACCCAGACACAAAAAGAGGAATATGGTATGTACTCACTCATAACCATAAACAAAGGACATTGAGCCTATAGTTCGTGATCCTAGAGAAGCTAAATAAGAAGGTGAACCCAAAGAAAAATGTATAGTTATTTTTCTGGAAATTGTAAGTTGACAAGATCATTGGGCAAAAGGTGGGAGCAGGTGGGTTGGGGTAGATTGGGGAGAAGGGGAGATGAGGAGAGAGAAGGGAAAAAGGGAGGATTGGGGAGAGCTTAGGGGAATGGAATAATTGAGATGGAGGAAGGGTGGATATGGGAGCGGGGAAAAAGTTATCCTAACCAAGGGAGCCATTTTATGGTTGGCTAGAGTCTTGGCTCTAGAGGGGTTCCCAGGTGGCCAAGGCAATTTACCCAACTAGTTCCATGGGCAGAAGAGGAGAGGGTGCCTGTACTTACCTTATCCTATAGCCACACTGATGAGTATCTTACATATCACCATAGAACCTTCATCCAGCTATGCATGGAGATAGAGACAGATACCCACATGGAGCACTAAACTGAGCTCCCAAGGTCCAAATGAGGAGCAGAAGGATGGAGAACATGAGCAAGAAAATCAGGACCGGGAGGGGTGCATCTACCCAGTGAGACAATGGGACTGATCTAATGGGAGCTCACTAAGGCCAGCTGGACTGATCAAACTGAACTCTCTGAATGTGACTGAATATTAGGGCTGACTGAGAAACCAAGAACAATGGCATTGAGATTTGATTCTACTTTATGGACTGGCCTTGTGGGAGAATAGTCTGTTTGGATGCTCACCTTACTAGACCTGGCTAGAAGGGGGAGGACCTTGAACTTCCTACAGGGCAGGAAACCCTGTCTGCTCTTAGGACTGGAGAGGGACGGGAAGAGGGATTGAGAGGAGTTAGAGGGAAATGGGAGGAGGGGAGGAGATGAAAATTTTTAATAATTAAATAAATAAATAAGTTAAGAAGGAAAGGAAGGAAGGAAGGAAGAAAGGAAGGAAGGAAGGAAGGAAGAAAAAGAAAGAAAGAAAGAAAGAAAGAAAGAAAGAAAGAAAGAAAGAAAGAAAGAAAGACAGACAGACAGACAGACAGACAGACAGACAGACAGACTATGGACTCTTGGCAACTGAACAACTCTCAACTGAATTACCACAGGGTCAACTAACAAATGAAGAAAGAAATTAAAGACTTCCCAGAATTTAACAAAAAACGAATTCACAAATTAACCAAATTTATGGGACACTATGAAAGCAGTGATAGGAGGAAAGTTCATAACACTGAATGCCTACATAAAGACCTTGGAGAAATCTCACCCTAGTGACTTAACAGCACCACTGAAAGTTCTAGAACCAAAGGAAGGAAATTCACCCAAGTAGAGAAGATGGCAGAAAGTGAGGCTGAAATCAATAAAATACAAACAAAGAAAACAACACAAAGAATCAATGAGACAAAGATTGGTTCTTTGAGAAAATCAATAAGATTGACAAACCCTTATCCAAACTAAATAAAAGGCAGAGAGAGAACATCCAGATTAAAAAGATCACTTACATAACAATAGACACTAAGGAAATCAAGAGAATCATTAGGTCATACTTTAAAGACCTGTACTCCCAAAATTGAAAAACATACAAGAAATGAACAATTTTCTTGATAGATAACACATACCAAAATTAAATCAAGACAAGATAAAAAATTGAAATATATCCATAACCCTAAGGAAATAGAAGAGGTCATTAAAGGTCCTCTAATGAAATAAAGCCCAGGGACAAATGGTCTCAGCACAGAATTGTACAGGAATTCCAAAAAAGAGCTAATACCAATACTCACCAAACTGCTCACAACAGGAGCAGAAGAAACAACGACAAAGTCTTTTTTGAGGCTACAATTAGACTAATACCCAAGCGACACAAAGACGCAATACAAAAAAAAAAGAGAGAGAGAATTACAGACCTATTTCCCTCGTGAATCTTGATGCACAATTATTCAACAAAATACTGGGAAATTGAATCTACACATCAAAAATTCCACTGTGTTGTAGTATTCTTCATCCCAGAGGTGCAGGGATGGTACAACATGCAAAAATCTGTCAATGTAATATACCATATAAAGAAACTGAAAGACAAAAACACATGATAATATCTTTAGTTACTAAACAAAAGCCCTTGAGAAAATCCAATACCCCATTATGATGAAGGTCTTTAAGAGACCATTCCTAAACATAATAAAGGCAATGTAGAACTAGCCGACAGCCATCATCAAATTAAAGAGAGGCAAAAATGAAAGCAATTCTGCGAAAATCAGGGACAAGGCTAGACTGTACACTCTCTCCAATTCTGTTCAATAGAGTACTTGAAATTCTACCTAGAACTATAAGAAAGCTGAAGAAGATCAAGGGAATACAAATTGGAAAGGAAGAAGTCAAAATATCATTATTTGCAGAAAATATTATAGTACATATAAGTGACCCCAAAAATTCTACCAGGGAACTCCTACAGCTGATAAACACTTTCAGTGATGCGACTGGATATAAGACTAACTAAAAAGATTATAGCCCTCTTGTTTATACATGATAAATGGGTTGAGTAAAAATTCAGAGAAAGAGTTAACACCCATTACAACAGACACAAATAATATAAAATATCTTGGGGTAACTCTAACCAAGCAAGTGAAAGACATGTATGACAAGAACTTTATGTATTTAAGAAAGAAATTGAAGAAGATATTAAAGAGTGGAAAGACCTCCCATGTTCATTGACCAGTAGGATTAACAAAGTAAAAACAGCAATCTTACAAAAAGCAATCTACAGATTCAATACACATCAAAATTCCAACACAACTTTTCACAGACCTCAAAAAACAATACCCAAGAACATGTGGAAAAGCAAAAAAAAATAGTTTAGCAAAAAGTCCTTTACAATAAAGAAACTTCCAGTTGTATTGCCATCACTGACTTCAAGCTCTATTATAGAGCTATAATGATAGATACAGCTTTGTATTAGCATAAAATAGATAGGTAAATCGATGAAATAAATTGAAGACCCTGATGTAAATTCACACATACAGGAACAACTTATTTTGATAAAGAACCCAAAATTATACAATGAAATAAAGAAAGCATCTTCAACAAATGCTGTTGGCATAGTGGATGTCAGCATGCAGAAGAATGCAAATAGATTCTTATCAATCACCCTGAACAAAACTCAAGTCCACGTGGATCCAAGGCCTCAATATAAGTCCAGGTTCACTGAACCTGATAGAAGACAAAAAGGGAAGTGCCTTGAACACTTTGGAACAGGAGACAACATCCTGAATAGAACACGAGTATCACAGACACTGAGATAAAAAATTAATGAATGTGACCTCCAGAAAATGAAAATGTTCTGAGAGGTGAAAGAAACCATTAGAAAGACAAAACAGTACCCTACAGGATGAGAAAATACCTTTATAAATCATACAGCTGACAGAGGGTTGATATCCAAAATATATAAAGAACACAAGAATCTAGACATTAAAATAACAAACCATCCAATTAAAACATGGGGTACAAATCTAAACAGAGAATTCTCAAGAGAAGAATCGCAAATAGCCAAGATACAATAAAGAATTGTTCAACATCCTTAATCATCAGAGAAATGCAAATCCAAAGAACTCTGAGATAATATCTCACCTGTCAGAATGGCCAATATCAGAAATATTTTATCTACTGGTACTGTAATATCTATAGGCTCTTCATCAGGAAGTTTTTTTTTAACCAGGAAGTTTTTAAAGAAGATTCCTCCCTATCATTAAGTGTATACTTCCCTGAAAATAGGGAGATGTTGGTAGTTGTGGAGAATTGTAACAGCCATAAATTCCTATAATACCATTACCTTGTGGACATATAATTTTAGTAGGAGATAAGAGTCAGTTTCCCGCTTGGGAAGTACCAAGAAATTTCGAATCAATAAGAGAGAATTTTGAAGAAGGGGGTGCTTAAGGTTTGCCTTGTGTCCCAGAAGATTCCTGGGAAGAGAAACCAGACTCCAGGCAAGTGATGAGGAAAGCTGGTTAGCAGGGAGGCAATGTTATTTCCCCATGACATCAGCAGTCCCTTCCCTGGACATTCTATTGTATCCTAGAGACCCCTGGAATCTTCTGATGTCATCTGTGTTGTAGCAACACCAACTGCCCTTGGAGAGTTTCTTCAGTGCCTTTACGGTTTACCCATGATCATGTTGGCAAGACTGAGGCGTCTTGTAGGGAGAGAGAATGGAGAGGGAAGCGAGACCAGAGAGAGGCAGAAGAAAGATGGCCTTGAGCCTCAGCGTAAACCATCAAGAAACAAATGGTTCAGAGGAAGGCGACGTAAGTCCTGGGCATAAGGTGGAGAGCTCCCTGAAGGAGGTGGGCTTTTGGTAGCATTTCCAGTAATAGGGCATAGGAACTGAGGTTTGGGGTAGCAATTAGACTTCTCTGGAAGACATGGCTCCTGAAAGTCAATGATTCCAGTATAACAATCTGTCTCAACTAGAAGCCAGGAACCGGTAAACAAAATCTTTATGCTGGGAACTTTTGGCATTCAGTCTCACAGGAGGATAAAGGGTTGATGAGGAACCAGCATTAAAATAGGAACAGCATAAGAAGGGACAAGTAAGTGTGCCCAGATCAAGACAGGGTATTACTGTACTCCAACACCAGTGGGTACTGTCCACCTTTGTGTGCCCTGAGTTGGCAGTGAGGTGACATGGTGCTTCTGGTGACCATGTTCTGCTCCTATATGGCTTCTCCCTTTATAGCCATGTGCTTAGATGACCTCTTTGGATATTTGAGAAATCTCTAAATGATCAGAGTGACTGAACTATGCTAATTTTTTCTGACTTGGAAACCCACAACATTGTGGACTCTTTAGCCAAGTTGAATGGAGACTCTACAGTTGTGAAGGGGCCTGAGGAGGTTCTTCCTTTGTTTACCTGAAGCACTAGGCGGGCAGAGGAAAGGAGCTGGCTGAGACACCCAACTCCCTTCATTAATGAGAGAGCTGAGATCCCATGCAGGGACATCTTAAGCCTGGGTCAGATTCTACTGACTTGTTACTGGTTTGACCAGTAACATAAAAGTTATGTTACTTTTTTTAAAAAGTTTCCTCAAAGGTTTGTTTAGGGCTCAGAGTCATCTGTCCATCCTCTATGTGTTGTCACAATGCAAGTTCACTGTTGTTCATCTACCCACAGGGTCCGCTGGAGAACAACCATCTCCCCAAACCGTCCTCACCAAGAAGCAGAAGGTGAAGAGTCTGACCACTCAGCTACAGCAAATGACCAGAGAAAGAAATGAGCTACGGGATCACCTGATCTCCATCACCGAAGGACCCATGGACAATAGGTATTCCTTGTTTCAAATTCCATATTGATTGTCTTGTTTCCACACTTTCACCCTAAATTTATTTCATCTTAGATTTGGGCTCTGAGAGACTGCACCTTCAGGGTGTCTCTTGGCTCAGCACCATGCCTTTATGCTTCCCAGAAGAACAACCCGGGCAGGAGTGAGATGGGAACATAGACTATTCTGCTTCCTCCAAATGGATGCCAGAGCCTGAGTCACATAACTAAGAGATCGAGGCAGTACAGTGTGAGTTCCCTGCATGCACTTGTAGAGACCCTGTCAAATGGTAGCTTGTGTAAGAAGTTACCTGATGTTATTTTTTGTTTGCCTGTCAAGACATTGTGTGCTGGATGCTCCAAGTAGCAACTGGAGAGGTCTGGTCCCACATTTTAGGACTGCAAGGCCTGGTATTGATCCCTGCTTCTTTTGGTTCTCTCTGAGATGGCGCACCTATATGCATTCATTTAGCATCCCATTGATAACTCTCTTTCTTTCCCTCTCTCTCTCTCTCTCTCTCTCTCTCTCTCTCTCATACACACACACACACACACACACACACACACAGGCATAAAACACACACGTGTGTTGCATATTTGTCTGTGTGTTTGTACGTTTGTGCATACTTTTCATCTAGACCCTGTAGTCGGGGGTCCGAGGGTGGGTTGACAGTTGCCTGTCTCACAGTTCCCAGGTGATCCCCGCAGTGAGTATTGAGAGCCCCGCTTGGAGCATTACAGTTGTCAGTGTGCTCACCTTGGTGCCATACAGATATCCCCTTGGGGAGTTTATAAACCCATCATGACACTGAATGTCATCCTCAGAAATGCTCATGATGTGATTATGGCCTCCACTGTGACAGACACCAGGCGTGAGAATTTATGTTTGAGATAGGATAAACATCATCACAAGTTTGCAGGACACAGACCTGTGGTGTAAACACTAGGGAACTCCTTTTGTGTTTTTTATTGTGCTGTGCATTTTCTCTGCTCCCCGCCCTTTATCCCCTCTCCCATTATACCCTCCCAGTCCCCCGCATGCTCCTAATTTACTCCTGAGATCTTGTCTTTTTCTCCTTCCTATGTAACTCCATGTATGTCCCTCTTAGGGTTCTCTTTGTTGTCTAGGTTCTCAGAGGTTGTGGACTGTAGGGTGGTTTTTCTCTTTGTTTTATATCTGAGCATCACATATGAGTGCTTATATATTATTTTTTCTGGGTCTGGTTTACCTAACTCAATATGATTTATTCTAGATCAACTCATTTTATGCAAATTTCTAGATGTCATTATTTTTTTACCACTGAGTATTTTTCATTGTGTAAAAGTACCACACTTTATCCGTTCTTTGGTTGAGGGGCATCTAGGTTTTTTCCCATGTTCTGGTTATTACAAAAAAATGTTGCTATGAACATGGTTGAGCAAAAGTCCTTGTGGTATGATTGAGCATCCTTTGGGCATATGTTCAAGAGTGGTAATGCTGAGTCCTGAGCTAGATTTATTCCCAGTTTTCTGAGAAACCGCCACACAGATTTCCAGAGTGTTTATATAAGTTTGCATTCCCACCAGCAATGCAGGAGTGTCCCCCTTACTCAGCATCCTCCCCAGCATAGGCTATCATTGGTGTGTTTTATCTTAGCCATTCTGACAGGTGTAAGATGTTATCTCAGACTCATTTTGATTTGCATTTCTCTAATGGCTAAGGATGTTGAAAATTTTCCTTAAGTGTCTTTTGGCCATCTGAGATTCTTCTGTTAAGAATTCTCTGTTTAGATCTGTACACATTTTTTAATTGGATCATTTGGAATTTTGATGTCTAATTTCTTGAGTTCTTTATATATTTTCTACATCAGTCCTCTGTCTGATGTGGGGTTGGTGAAAATCTTTTTCCATTCGGTAGGCTGTTGTTTTGTCTTATGACCCTGTCCTTTGCTTTACAGAACCTCTCAATTTCAGGAGGTTCCATTTATTAACTATTTCTCTCAGTATCTGTGCTACTGGATTTTATATTTAGGAAGTGCTCCTCTGTGCCAATGTGTTCAAGTGTACTTCCCACTTTCTCTTCTATGAGGTTAAGGGTGGTTGTTTTAATGTTGTGATCTTTGATCCATTTGGACTTGAGTTTTGTGCAGGGTGATAGATGTGGGTCTATTTGTACTCTTCTACATGTTGATATCCAGTTATTCCAGCACCATTTGTTGAAGATGCTTTTCTTCCATTGTAAAATTTTCGTTTCTTTGTCAAATGTTAGGTGTCCATAGGTATGTGAGTTAATATCAGGATCTATGAATTGATTTCAACGTCCACCTGTCTATGTTTATGCCAACACTAGGCTGCTTTCATGACTCTAGCTCTAGAGTAAAGTTTGAAGTCAGGGGAGGTGATGTCATCAAGTTCCTTTATTACACAGGATTACTTTGGCTATGCTGGGTTTAGTGTTTTTCCATATGAAGTTGAGAATTTTTCTTTCAAGGTCTGTGAAGAATTTTGCTGGGATTTTGATGGGCATTGCATTGAAGTTTTGCTTTTGGTGAGATTGCCAGTTTTTCTGTTAATTCTACCTACCCAAAAGCATGAGAGATCTTTCCATTTTCTGGTGTCTACTTCACTTTATTTCTTCAAAGACTAAGAGTTCCTTTCATACAAGTCTCATTTGCTTGGTTAAAGTTACCTCAAAATATTTTATGTTGTTTGTGCCTGTCGTGAATGGTAATGTTTCTCCGATTTTTGTTCAACCTATTTATCATCCATATAAAGGAGGGCTACTGATTTTTTTAGTTAATCTTTTATCCTACTACATTACTGAAGGTATTTATGAGTTTTAGAGTCCCCTGCTAGAATTTTTGGGGTCACTTATGTATACTATCATATCGTCAACAAATAGTGAGAATTTGACTTCTTTATTTCCTATTTGTATCCCTTTGAACTAGAGAACATCTTAGTTATTTTAGCCAGCCTACTGAGAGAGCTCATGTAGCCACCATCTGCCATCTAAACACATAGCGTCTGCTGGCCTAGGGTCAAAATAGCAAATTTAATAAGCACCAGAAGTTCCCAGTACACAGGAAACAGGATGTGACATCCATTTGTGCTGCCTTAGTCTAGAACACAGCCTGAATTCATGTGATCTGTGAGGACTTTGTTCAAGGAGTTCTTTGATTTCAGGACCAGACCCTACTGTAAGCCAAATCTTTTATTTGAGAACCTGAAGAGGAAGCATGAGAGGGTCATGTCAGACTTGCAGCGCTTGGAGGATGAGAAGAATGAAGTCACAGCAGAGTTCAATGAGCTTGCCAAGGAGTCATTCTTCTATTGGTAAGTGCCTGTCGTACAAGGGTCCACAGCATTGTGGAATGGCCATCTCTGCCTTTCTTTGACTCTGGACTGTGGGGTCTATGGCTCTGGTTCCAGCCTTTCTGCCTTTTAACAAGCAGCTCTTGGATTTGTGTCTCTTGCACTCGGTTTTGCTAATTGTGAAAGAGCCTATGAGTTGCACCCAGCCCTGTATGGTCATACTTAGTAGCCTCTACACCAGTGGATCTCAAGTTTCCTAATGCTGTGACCATTTTCATACAATTCCTCATGTTTTTGTGATGTCCATCTGTAAAATTATTTAAGCTGCTATTCTATAACTATAATTTTGCTACTGCTATGAAGCATAATGCAATATCTGTTGTGCAGGGATATCTAAAATACCTCTTCTGTAAAAGAGTAATTCCATCATAAAAGAAGTTATGACTCATAGGTTAGAACCCCTTCTCTAGATAGAAGAAAAAATTGCAACATGAGTGGTGTATCAGGGAGGGTCTCAGGCAGGGTCCTATTGCCATGGACCTCTCCACCACTTGGATCTCTAACCCTATATCAGAAGGTATTTGTCCCTTTCCTGGTGATGTTGACCCATTTACCACGGTCAGGTAAAAGCAGGTGGGGACGCCTGTTTTTTTAGTAGAGATTGTTAGATTTCTTTGGTTGTTGGAGTTTTCAAAAGTAGTTTGATTTTTCTGAAATTCTCTGTTCTCTACTTTTGGCCTTTTAGGACTTTTGTCTCTGTCTCCATCAGAAACCTGGGGCCAGTGGGTTTGATGGGGTATGGAGGCAGGGGTGGCAAGAGAAGGATGGCAGGGGCTAATGATGCAGAGGGTGCATCCTTCCAGCAATCTGCAGTACCAGCTCCTGATGGAGAAGTATCAGATGGAGGATAAGGTGGACTCGCTGAAGCAGGAGAACAAGAAATTGCTGGAGTATTGGGTCCTGCTGCAGAAGCACTTGGAGGATTTGCACTTGGTCTTTCCAGACCAAGAGGAAGAGAACAGAGACCTGCAGATCCAGGAGCATCAGGTAGGGATAAGCAGCTGGGTCAGGGTTAGGTCCAGCACCATTTTCTCATGTAATATTAGCTTAGCTACCCATCAACCCACTTGTGCTTCAACACATCACTTCATTCGTCCACACATTCACTCCTCACCACTTTCATGTCTGCTTATTCATTTCTGTGTTCATGCATCAGTGCTTCTGGGTGTGAGTCTCTTGTGAGAATCAAATGGCAAACAACCCCTATTGCTCTGCTTGAAGCTGCAGTCCAATGAGGGAGGTGGGGTGATCACACATCACACACCTACAGGTCAGTATGATGGGAGGGGTGCTATGTACACACTTGAGGGAATGAGTTCTAGGACCTGTGCCTCCTTTACTTTACAGGGTTCATATGACATCATGGCAGGGTGGGGCCAGCTTGCAAGGAGAAGAGCCCCCAGCCAGTGTCTAATGAGTGATTCCCTTTGTCGCCTTTTTGGGTGACATACGAGCTTTCTTCCTCCTATTCTCTTCTTCTAAGGTGGTCTCTTTATCATGCCCAACACCTGATTTACACTGACAGGAAGCTCTGTGGGAGTTTTCCAATCAGTGTTTTCTATGTGTCTCCTGGACACGTTCTCCCTTCACGGAACTTAACAGTATGGAACTGACCTGCTGTCAGGGATGTGGAAAGGGAGAGTTGCGGTGGGAGATCTAAGCCTTCCAAACAAAAAGTTCTTCAAACACCTCAACATAGTCTGGCCAAGTAGAACAAAACAGCCTGTACAATTTTAGTCCCAGGAGATGGGGATCAGAGTCACCAGACTCTTCTGAAAGAGCTGTGCTCCCAGTCTAAACTCACATGTTCATCTAGCTAGCATGATACCATTTTATCCCCCACCTCATTGTTCTCTCTCTCTCTCTCTCTCTCTCTCTCTCTCTCTCTCTCTCTCTCT